ACGCTTTGTCCTAGTTGACCAGTTTGACCTTTGTGAAAACAGTTTCTAATAATCCTAATAATTGAAATGAGGTGAACCGTGGTGTGGTTGAATGCCAAAATACATACCAAAATTTAAAAAAAATGTGTAAGCCTCCACAAGCTACCGGAAAGTGAAATATTAAAGAAAAGTTGGCCGGCAAAAATAGCCCGTGAGGACGGCTTGCCAAACCCTGCAAAACTAAGACTTCCTGCCAGATATACAGGTATATAAGTTTTCCTTATTCACTCCCATCTGATGTCACACCGAATGAAAGACCATCAAGAGCTCCAAACTGTCGTCCTTTCAAACAATTGAAAGTGAATAATGATATCTATAAATATTCTTTTTATCCAAGGACAGTAGTTTTGTGGAACAATATATCTCTAAGCTCTTCTAACATTGTTAATTTAGATATATATAGATCAAATGCTCTTTCATTTATTAGGTCGGTTTAGCCCATACTAATTTTATCTTCACGCTATTTATATTATTTTTTTATCCAAGTTTTGTTTTTCTTATATTGTTAAACCTTAAACTGTATATAAATTATTTCAATTTTATTCTTTGTAATTAGTCCTCCTAGTATAGTTATTACTGTTTTAGGAGTATCTCGATTAAAGATTAAAGATTAAAGTATCTCGATTAAGACTGTCTGAGTTTCTCGGACGGACATCATTTGAGAGAGAGTGAAGAAAATTCGACAGTGAATAAGGTACTCTCGTACGTCGTAAGGCTAAGAATAGCCAGAAGCAGCTGCGAACTGCTAATCAACAACAATAACAACAACTTTATTTATACCCAACGTAAAAAAATACTGATAAAAATAATGATAAATTGAAAAGTATATAAAGGAGTACTAGCTGCCCCAAATAACCATAGGGGCTAGAAAAGAAGGGGAGCTATACTTAAAAGATTTATGTAATGTAATTATTTGGGTCAGATATAACACACACAACACACACAACACACACAACACACACACACACACACTCATTCATCATACAAAACAAGGTCAAGGAAGCAAGGAATATCAGAGTAAAAAACAAACGGAAGGCCAGAAAAATTCTTAATATCTATCAAGAAGAATTAGCTTAGATTTTTCTTAAAACGTTTCAGAGGAAGAAGCTTTATGTCTTCACTTATATCATTCCAGACTTTAGCACCCTGAAATCTAATGTTGAAGATTCTATAATTTGGTCTGGCACTTGGAATAGTATAAGTCATTTTGCTAGATAATCTGGTATCATAATAATGTAACATCCTAACAGAATTGAAATGTGGGTCAAATTTAATTTAATTTAATAATAAGTTCTTATATAGCGCATTAAAATTGAACTCTATGCAGGAGGTAAGAGTTTCTTCTGAAACTTTTACATAACTACTGCAAGTCGAAAGGTATCAATGTCAAACAGCTTCACAACAGTTAAGATCTTTAAATAAAGGACTTGAATGTTCGTTACTAGAGAAAGTAATTATTCTTGAGGCTCTCTTCTGTAATATAAATAAAGGTTGCAAAGCTGTCTGATTGGTATTACCCCAAGCAATTAAGCAGTAGTTTAAAAAAGGCTCAACTAAAGCATAGCACAGGCTAAGTAGTGTTTTAGTACGAAATAACGGAGCTTGGACAGAATGCCTATACTTCTCTTGATTTTTTTAGAAATATTAGTAATGTGCGTTTTAAAACTAAAATCATAATCTATGTAAACTCCAAGGTGTCTAGTGGAAGTTACCTGGGTTAAAATTTGATTGTTTATAGATAACATAACCTGTTTGGGCAATTTTCTTTGATTTGGACGGAAAATAACAAAATTTGATTAAATATTGGATATTTAATGAAAGCTTATTTGCATATAACCAGGTGTAAACTTTCTCAAGTTCAGAATTAATCATGCTTTCAAGCATCTTTATGGAAAACTTATGAACACATCTGTTTGAGCAGTGTATTAGTTCTGTGTAACTGTATTGTTATATTACAGCTCTGACCTACAGAAAATTGAGTGTGTTAAGTTTTTGCTCACGAAATACTCACCACTAAGGCCGAGCCTAGCTTCCTAAGTACCAGTAGTTACTTCGCCACCAAAACCAACTCATATAAAAAAAAAGAGATTTGCTTTTACAATTTTCATTCTATGTTACGTCATAAGTAAATAACTTTGCGATCGCAAACCGAGTTTCCTATCAGGCCGCAAATTATGCCGAAAGGCCTCTTATTTTTGTTTCAATTAAAATTTGCGAGATGTGTGATCAAACGTATTTTAAATCTTAAAAGATTTTAGTGTTGACACTTCGCAGTATTTCCTCTAAATTATCCACTTGCTGAAATAAAAGTATGGCTTCGTTTAAAGGGAAAGAAATCTTTATGAAATACGAAAGACTCCGAGTGTTCTAGAAATGTTTTATGATAAACTACCGCTTCGACAATACCCTGCTGGCAGAGGCGTTTATTTGTTAACTTCCCCTACGGTCCACGTAAAAATAAAGTCTTTGTTTTTATGTGGATCGTGGGGGAAGTTAACAAATAAACGCCTCTGCCAGCAGGGTACTTCGACAAGTGTAACTGCCAAGAGTCAGGTTTCAACACACGACCGCTTAATCGTGGTTGCTGTAAGGAACAAAATAATTACAAGTAATTACAAAATACAAACAGAAAAACGCAAACATTAGAGGAGACGCAATCGGACAAGGAAAGACAGTTGCAAACGTTGTAGGAATTTTGGACACGAAGGAAGAAAAAACTTAAGAGTTGAACGCAGTAAAGAAACGATGTTAACTTAACGGACTCCGATGCTCCAAATGTTCAATTTTTCCCTGAAACTTTAACACATGATATTAAGTAAAGCAAAATTAAACGAAAAACTTAACAGAATATAAATCACCGTGAGTGAAAAGAATGCGAAAACAATAACAAAAATGTGCGTGTAAAACACAAAAAAATTAATTGGGATCGTAAAAAAAAAAAAAAAAAAAAAAAAGAAATCGCTAAATGGGAATGCCGCAGTAACACAGTAAAATTCCCAATTCTTCAATTCAGTATCCCACGGTATCATCCTCCGTGATTTATTGTGAAAAGCGGGTCATTTCGATCTCACGAACAACTCCGATACGCATAAATATCATTTTTTTGTCAGTCTATCGAGTTACTGATGTACTGAACCTTTATGATGCCATTCCACCCTTCAAAGGATAAAAACATCATGTCTGGCTTTAGAGAGTTCCAAGGCGGAAACAAAATAAAAAATTTAGATAAAATTTTAGGTTTTTTTGCCATGGTAATACTGATGACCTAAACATTATCCATTGCTGACGCAAAAGCCTAAAAGGAACATTAGGAAAGGCCGTAGCAGAGCTGTTATTCCTTTCGTTTCCCTCGTCCCCAGTTAGTTTCTCTTGATCCCAAACCTCATTTTTTCGCTCCCAAAGCTTCCTCGCTTCCCTTACAAACTGACGGCCTGGAGCAGGGTGTGTCGAACTGGGAAAGGAGTAATCGGCAAGGGATTGCTTGCCATTCAGCGGAGGGTGGCGTGCTTTATAAAACAGGGACCGCGATCAGCTATTCTCGTGTCCAGACAACGACTACTTTATTTCTCACCGATACAAAACTACACAACTAAACTGAAAGAGCACAAAGCTTGGTCTTCATTCCTTGTTTCCCGCCAATTTATTTGAATTTTGCCATCTTGTTATTAATAGGACGAGCTTTAAACCGATCTGACTTGAGATAGGCCGCAATGGTAGGTAGTTCCTGTACAAAGAAACCACAAAGACAGTTTGAATTAACCACAAAGAAGTTTGAATTAACCACAAAGACAGTTTGGGCTAACTGGGCCGCCGCCCAATGGATAGTGCGCTGGGTTGTTGAGCGAGAGGTCGAGGGTTCGAGCCCCGGCCGGACCAACACTCAAGGTCTTAAAATAATTGAGAAGAATTTGTTACCTTTCTATAACATCACGAAATGGTTAGACATTCTAGTCTTCTCGGATAGGGACGAATAAATGGAGGTTCCGTCTCCTGCAGGTTGGGGGTAGGAGACGTTAATTACCCACACACGAGATTACTGTGTGATGGATGTCCTCCCCTGGGGTGGGTTGGTGGGTACAAAGGGGTCAGGTGTCAATTGGGACGAAAGTCCTGTTCCTTTCTCCTGCCATTCCCGTGGAGAATGAATTAAATTCTGAATAAATCGTGACTTCAAAGACAACAATCGCACAAAGTGACAACAATTAAACTCTATGCAGGGTTTAACAGGTGGCCTTATTCCCGTGGGTTCCAGGGAGAAGTACTGTAACTAATCATGACATAATCTAACTAAAGTTAACAACAAAGGGAACCTGTCCACAGATTCTAGCACTGCCTGAGCAACTCGACTTTGACTGCAAAAGAAAATTGAAGGCATTCATTTTGGCTACAGGATGATTTTCACTAGCCATTGTACACCCAGGAAACTTGTCATCAAAATGACAACTTACCTCGATGCGTTTCAAGAAATCCTGAAAACGAGCAAAGTAGTTCATTAAGAAATGAAAAGAGTGAGTAAATTAGAGTTCACAGTGTATTAGGGATGCTGAGTGGAAAGTAACAATAGAAATGGTAAGATTCGTTTCAGAACAGAGTGCTGTTTTGTTTTTTGTTTTTGTTTTCCACGGGGGAGTGCTTATCAAAAAATGGCAAAACACTGCTGAACACCTGAACCTCCCAAAAATCAATCTTGCCTCTGTTTGACCCTTGAGTATACAACATCATGATAGTTTAATCACTTGCTAACTTGATATTCAGATATTCCAAAAATACTGTACCACAGA